ATAGTCATATAACGAACATTCACCTCATGGACATTTTGATCCTTAAAAAAACCATAAATCACGGTCGCCTATTCGCCTTGTCACATGTAGCACTTCTCCATTTTATCCGAGCTACTTTATTCCTATGCATGCAAAATATCCTCTTCAGTCACTGATGGTTACAAGTCTAGTGAAACCATCTAGGTATTGTAGTTCACGGAGCTAACAATCTATAAGCATTCTGGCAAAATTTTGGAGAAATATCATCTTTTAAAATCTTCAAAGATGATGTTGCTTTCACATTTTTCCCATTCTTTTCCATGTTTCCACTTTAGAAGAATATATTAAGGGTGAATTAAAGAAAAAAAAAAAAAACTAATTATTGCTTTGTAGTTGATTCGCCTTTACTTCATACACAAACATACACACAATTTTTATTTTTTATTTTATTTATTTATATATATATTTTTTTTATGAAGTAAAGGAAAAGTTCTTCCAACTGAAAGCACTTAAAAAGTGCAGACGCTCGACTTGCTTTCATAGTTGGGTACTAATTAATTTCCAAACAATAATCCTTCGATTCAGCCATGACATTTTCTGCGTCTTCTCTGTTTCTTTTCATGTTTCAATTCAATAAGGGTATATTGATTATTTGAAGAAATTTTTGAGACTTTATTTAACAGTCAAACAAAAGATCCAAGATGCCACAAATTGCATGTTCAGAAGCAATTGTCACAAGGTTCAAAGGTTCGAGGGTCGTGCTACTTACCCTTATAATTAACTGTCTTCTGATTATTGAAATAAACAAATATTCATCCAGGTCCGACCCTTCACAGTGCAAATAGTTGGGAACTAATTAACATACTCGATGCTTATATAGAAGCTGCCCAAATACTTGTATACCAGCAAAACTACACTCACGCGACTGATGTGGGACGAATCATCAAATATTATAGGCGAGAAGAAAACATCAAAATTATTACCTCATTTGCCTTTATCGAAGAAGGAACAATGAAATTTTTAGCAGCTAACGTTAATAAAGGACACATTTAAGGATCTTCAGAGTCACAAACATGTATGTTTCAATTTTGCACAAAACAACTGAGTGAAAACAAACTCGTCATTTTTCCAAGAAAGAGCAATAGCAAATGTAGAGAACATTCTAGAGCATTTCTTCTGTCTCTTCCATGCATTAGAGGCTGGAAAAGAACATGGTTTTAGAAAAATTGTCGTTCACCACAGACTTGTCTCCTGAATTTTCATTAGCCTCTTCCTCACAGTTATGCTTTTTCTCCCTAGACCTTCTGTCTGATGATGAACCATCATATTCTTTGCCTTCGCAATTGTAACTAGACTTCTTTTCTTTACTTCCAAACAAGTCTATGGGCTGTTGTGATGAACTCGCAGCTGAAAATACAAACCTGGGAAAATGTTTTGGCACCTGGAAAGGGAAAAGGAAGATTCAGTAGCGTTATCATTTATTGCATGTTCAGCAAAGCTTTATCAGATTATAAGTTGTGGATATTGTGAAATGTGTGAATAATAAGTGGGTAAAAGTTGGTAAAAGTTGTGGGTCCTATGAATTGGTTGATTATTTATGGAGTCTAACCATCTTATAAGCAATATAAAGCTTTATCAAAACGCGGACTTAGACGTAAAGGTTAATTTCAACAAGATAACCTGAAAAGTGCCCCCCTGAAGAGGGGGAGAGGGCCTCACTGAATGACTTGCCTCCTTTGCACTGAAATGGTGGATCCCTGTTCCAGCTTTGTTCTCCAGATTTCCCTCGAATTGGCATTGGGAAGCAGACAGTCGCAGCTGGTGAAAATCTTGATTAGTTTTCTGATTAAAAAACGCGATGAAAATGTAATATGTCCATACTGAAAACAAATCTTCAATTTCATTAAGTCAGGGTTAGAGAAGCTCAAATTATTAGTAGACACACAGAGAACAACATAGAGACATACGTTAGTGTCACGATTATATGACATATTTCCAACAATTATAAGGAAACAAAATTGAGTAAGACCTTATCGTTTGCATCCTCCAGGATATTAGGTAGCAGATGATGATTCTCCCTGTTGACAGGTTGTTTATGCTTATGAATCACTTTCCCCTTCTTCCGACCACGTTGTTTATTGGCTTTGTTTATTTTCATTTCCGCCTATCAAGCCAAGGAAAATTGTAAAACATGAATACCATTGAGGTCTATACATGATATAAAAAGCAAGGCTAATTAAAGATTTACCTTCTTTTTATGCTTGATCTCCCACTCAGGGTCGATCTCAGCAATGCAACTTCTGACTTTGATCGCTTTTTTATCTCTTGCATCAACAAGAGCAGACAATGTTCGATGGGGAGCAGAAGTCAGGGAGGAAGGCATAAAATGCATCTTCTTTCTGATTCTCCCTTCACATTGGAGAATTTCCTGAAGATTTGCCATAGAAGATTAAAAATCGCGGAGTAAAGGTAGTGATTCTGATGGTGGATTAATGTTTAGAAACACAAAAGTAGATATATCTTATGCAATGCACCACATGGCAGATACGAGAGGCCAAAAGTCAAAGTGCCACCGACACCATTAGTTTAATGCACTTGCTGCTGAGCAATTGATAAGGTACCTTATCATGTACAGAGAAAAGGTGTGTTTGCATGTCATGTATGTCTTGCTCAGAGACGTCAAATGATTCCTCTCCAATTAATAACTGCATACTACCATCGTCCCATATTACAAAGCGTGAATTGCTTTCAACCTGCACGTGTATATTTACTTTGTGAAGTTATTTAAGCATATGCGTAAGATATGTAAGTTTGCACCAAAATGGTCCAATCCAGCAAACAACATTGACCAACTAATAATGAAATTGTTCTCTGGATGTGAGAACGAAGTATAAGTACTAGATTTAAAATAAAAGTCATTACGAATTTAAAATCATAGAAGGTAATGGCTAAAAGTTCAAATAACAGCTAATATAATTTCAAGACAGATTCAGCCAACCTAAAAATATACAGAATGGACAACTTTAGCAAGATGTGGCATTAGAAATATGAAGAGTTGACTAGAGTTTCGTGATCATCCATGTTCCTGAGATAAATTGGTAATAAAACATCCAAAAGTTAACGTACAGTAGTTGTGCCATCAGGATTTTTGACATTCCTCCAGCGAACGATATTATTTGGAAGGATACGTCTTCTAGCTCCAGACTTGTCTGTTGTATAGAAGTCCTGTGCAACATAGGTGCTTGGATCAAATGGCTTGGGGTCAATGCCCACAATGTTGGAGAGCTTGATCATGTACATCTACCACAGATGAAATCACTGTGTTATAATTTCTAAAATTCTGCGCATGAGCAAAAGGGACTCAGGCAGGCATGCTTTAACTGGAACCAAAACAATGCAAGTCAGTTGCAATGGGAAACAAGAATAACTTAAATTCAATAAAACGGTTCACTTCAGTTACTCAGATCTCATCTGACGGACCATGACATCTGTGTTGACCTATTATTTAACACCAGTAGAAATGATAACAAAATTCGTTCTTGGATAATATAGTGTTCTTTCTGGAGCAACTAAGTCCAGGTATACTTTACAAGATTTCCTAGCGTGTGAGTCATCAAAATTTGCATACAAAGGCTTTCAGTTTGCTAAGATACCATTGCTCATCAAATCTCTGGCATCACAATACAATACAGAAAGAACTGCTTACAAAAAATTAAGGGTACAATTGCTTAAAATTTTTTTGATAAGTAATCAAGTAATTTTATTAATAGATAATACATGGGGGGGGTATTATCAATTTAAACAGAAAAGAAATGACATAAAGTTTGGTAACCCTTTTACATAATTTGTGGCTGCAGCTTTAAACCAAGTATACAAAGTCATATAGAACCATTCTCTAATTTGCTATGTTGTTCTTGTTTGGTCTTCGAAACAACGGTTGTTCCTTTCTCTTCATACACACCATACAATGCATCCTGGAATAAGGTTCCACGCAAGCCTACTATCCTTATCTCGAAATTTTCTCCTCCATGCCCTCAACACATCTTTCATACGCCTCGACATCACCCAATCCGTATGTTGGGAAGCTAGAATACTGTTCCACAACCACCGAACACCTTCACAATGGAGGAACAAATGGTCATTCGTTTCTCCGTCTCTCTTGCACACATAACACCATTCGGTAACGTAAAAACCTTTTCTACGAAGATTATCCAACGTTAATGTCCGCCCCCTCAAAACCGTCCATAATA